TTCTCTGACTAGACCCTCGCTTTGCTCCGACTTCAGATAACAGATCCAAGCTGTAACCTGTCAGGCAGGGCCACTCAACTTTTAAAGACACTTCTTGTTCTCCAAATTCAGTTCAGACATCGCGTCAGGGGTGGCCACGCGCCTGTTCACAATTCACTCCAAGGCCACGAGGCGCGAGTGAATTGAATTTCTTTATTTCGGGTAGCCTGGGTACCATCCTACTTGTATGCCGGGGCTCCCACACTCGCTTCCCTAAGAAGTACTTAGGGAAGCGAGTATGGGAGCCCCGTTATAAAAGTAGGATGGTACCGGTAACCCAGGCTATATTTCGGGTATGTCACCTATAAAAAGTCGTAGAAACATGAAAATACACATACATGTATTTGTATCTGTACCGCCCCTTCCGCGTAACACACCAGCTTCGCAGACGACAGCTAGCTATATCGTACCAACGACTAGGCCCATACATTTACCAATTGATACACATTTCTGAAAAAAAAAATTCTGCATTGATAGTCTAACCAAACTTACAAGGACAAATTGTATAATACTGTTACTGGTGTTGAACAATTTGTTGATGAAGGAAATTAGGAAATATCATAATTTCCCGCGTCTGATATTAACTATGTCAATGGTGAGCTGAACAAACATTGAACTCGCAGTATACTATATACGTAGTCTACATCCTCTTGGAAACTTTCAAGGATCCGAAAACATAAGTGTAAATAGACTTCTCCCAAGTAGATTAGACTCTCGGAGCTCGAGGGGAGACTGGAGTTGGTTAGCACCCGGTTAGAGCCGTGACACCGCTGAGTGCGGCATGTGGTGGCGAGGATCAAGGTTAGCTTAGACAAACACGGAGGTTCCGCCATGTTGGATATGCCTCCCCCAATCATGTGGTATGTTGCACATGTTGAATCAAGTCAGCCACATTACAAGCATGCCGTGATCGTTAATTTCCTTTTGCTGTAACTATATTTTCATCGTCGCTGGATCCGTGGGAGACATTATTTTTAGTCCGTGGGGCAGTTTTGTGAGTGTTGAACGGCTGGCCTGTTGTGAAACGTGAATAAAGAGTAAATATATATGTTCTGTATCTGCCTATAATACAAACCCGTTTGGTTCCCCAACAGTGCGAAATGTGTATGAAAAGGCAAATTTGATATTTCGATGAAGGTTAGACATCCAGGTAATACGATACGCCAAAAAACAGTTACTCTTTCCCCTCTGGTCTCTCAGTCACTGACGAAAGCTAGTGGATACTAGCTGAAACGTCTGACGTTTTCAAAATCATATCCAGTTGCTTGAGTAACTGTTTTTTGGCAAAATTGATATTTCTTATTGAATACAGACCATCTCCTGGCATGTTATCTGTCTATTTCATAGAACGCATCTGCCTCATAGATCGACGAAACCAATGTACATATACTAGTACTTGGTGCAGCATGTCTATACGGAACCTTTTGGTTCCCCAACAGTGCGCACGTGTGAGTTGTAACACCCTGCAGCTGGTCTGGTCTACTCAGGACAACTGAGTTGACACTGCACGATAAGACGATTGACTTCAGCTGGAAGTTCACAGGCGGGGGTGTGCTACACAGGAAACGTTTGGTTTGATTAGAAACTCTATACAACATCATTTTATATTGCTGTTTGGACAAGGTGGGGTATAACGTACGACCATGTTACACAAAAATGGCACCCGGGATAATCAAAGAACAACACCCGGCAACATTGATTTTATATTGCTGTTTGGACAAAGTAAGGTGTAACGTACTTATTGAATACAGACCATCTCCTGGCATGTTATCTGTCTATTTCATAAAACGCATCTGCCTCATAGATCGACGAAACCAATGTACATATACTAGTACTTGGTGCAGCATGTCTATACGGAACCTTTTTTTTTAATTTTTTTTATTTTTAATTTTTATTTATTTTTTTTATTCTATTTTATTTTTTTTCAACACTGTTTATTCAAATCATGAAAGCAAGTACAGGTACAAGTACATATACATACACAGCTACTTTTAACAACTTTTACAGCCATATCCCCAAAATACACGGACCAATCACAAAGAACAGTCACTAAAAAAGATGTCTAAATCACTTAGACACAACAGGTCTTTAGACTGCCCTAGATATCACGTACGTCTATACGGAACCTTTTGGTTCCCCAACAGTGCGCACGTGTGAGTTGTAACACCGTGCAGCTGGTCTGTTCTGCTCAGGACAACTGAGTTGACACTGCACGATAAGGCAATTGACTTCAGCTGGAAGTTCACAGGCGGGGGTGTGCTACACAGGAAACGTTTGGTTTGATTAGAAACTCTATACAACATCATTTTATATTGCTGTTTGGACAAAGTAAGGTGTAACGTACGACCATGTTACACAAAAATGGCACCCGGGATAATCAAAGAACAGCACCCGGCAACATAAACCACTCTCATAAACCATCACTTTCAGACGTTTGTGGCTTCAACTTTCGTGTTTTCTCCCAAATCGTTCATTATAAGTTATTTGTACTAAACCTCATTTCTTGTACAGTATTATACCTAAAGCATCTGCGTGGGTAAAGTAATTTCGGGACCATATAACCAGTTTATTAGTTATTATCATTGGGAATTTATCAGAAGGGAGGTGAATCCGTAGGATGCATTGCGCAGCCAAATTGACTAAGGATCATCATCATCATCAGAATAGTGGCGAAAATATAGTAAAGACATGTCTTGCCTATTAGATGTTACTTTGAGAAGCTCGGAGTGACTGCATGGGGGGTTGTTGTGACGTGGGCGTGACCTGGTCCCGACTTGTAGACAGCTGAAAACTTGGTGAAGAATAACAAGGGAGGCATTCCTGACTCCATCGTGTTTGGTATTAACCACCTTGTGTGTGTGGAACTTCTGTAGCCTCTACCAGGCTTCGGGTGGAAAGAGTAGAAATCGGCCAAATAGGGAGATAGCATGGTCTGCTGGAGAGAACAGTTTGCCGCTCCCCTCCTGTTCTCTGCAGCAGACCAGCTCCCCTGGCATGCTGTCTCTATATTTGGGCGATTTCTACTCTTTCCAGCCGCCTCCCGAAGCCTGGTCGAGGCTAGAACATCTGAGCGGGCGTGGTGAAGAGCGTGAAGAAGAAGGAGAAGCAAAAAATTTACGAGGCAGGGGTCAGCACGGGTGGTCTGATGAGGGGGGGGGGGCGTATGTGTCCGACAAATTTTATAGCAGAGATCTACAGCAACTACAGGTCCCGAGCAAGACCATTTAGACCCCGTTCACAGTGAAAAAAATGGATCTGGATTGACTGCCGATCGGGATCGAAATTATGGAAATGAATTCAATCCGGATCGGTTTTAGCAGTGTGAACGCTCCAATCCGGATTGATTTTCTCCGATCCAGATCCAAAAGTAATCCACCTCGAGGAGGTAGTTCATGACCCTGTTCACAGTGAAAAAAAGGGATCTGGATTGACTTCCGATCCCGATCAGAAATTTAATTTGGATGAGGATTTATATTATTAGTTATAGTTACTTATCTGCCCCCAATAGTAGCAGGACAGGGTAGCGATCATAGGACCAACAGTACTGAAATAAAGCGGACGTTTCCACGACCATTTACCGTTTTTTTTGGGGGGGGGGTAATCTCGCTTTTTTGGGCGGGGCTAATGAGCTGGGCAGTGGAATACTGTTAGAGCCCCGAAGACAGCCTGTCCCAATCACGAAAGACTGGATGCCAGGCTAGCCTTTTTCACTATTCACATTTGCACCTACCACCAGAATGACGCGTGACGACACCCCCCATCATCACTGATCTGCCCTGCCAAAGCAAACAAACTACTTCAGCCACACTTGATATATACCCAGGCTAATGGATGAGGGGTACCGGGGAGAGCTTAGGATCCGTGTCAGCCGCTGAAAGACAGGAGACGTTTGTTACCTTCTCCGTTCTCAATGAGATCACGACCTGGCACAATAGCTTGCAGAGTAGGATAGGTGTATTGGGCGAATGTGTAAGTGAGTGAGTTATTGACGAACACTCTTCACATACCACACCAAAATATTTTACACACTATCTATGCGCTTCCTTCTTTTAAAGATAACATGACAAACCCATTCAATTCTATAATATTATACATTTGACAATAATGAATGAAAGGCCAGAAAGTGTCTTGTGTCTTAAGACGGACCGAAGATATCACAAAGTCATGTTGTGGGTCACATACCTTGGGATAGGGTTAACTAAGAATCATGCGGCATGATTGTGACAGCGTGTCGGTCCGTGGTATATCTGTAACTCTAGGCGAGGCGGCGGAAATAACCCGGAGTGTTAAGCCGGGATTTATCTATGCCTTACTATCGGTCGTATCGAATTCTCGCAGTAATACCAACCATTGCTCTGAATCTGACCACAGGACATAGCACAAGAAATCTTTAACGTGGCATTAACAGATGCAACAGAACATGATGATGGTGCAAGCTGGGTCTTGTTTTTCAACAGTCTTTGCAGGCTTGTTAACATGGGGAAACACGTATTCCATTCATTTCACACTGCGGCGAACTGGCTTGTATTGAATGTGTGATAGGGTTTACTGAGCCTTTCTATTGTACAGTACATTCTGTACAATCTGGCACTGGTACTAAGTAAAACGGCAAAAAGAGAAGCTATATCGGTATAATGATAATACTATGTGTCACGGCTGTCAGGGCAACGTTTTATGATAGGGCCAATATCCATCAAGGTTGTGTTTTCAGGCATACGTTTTTCCTACCTCGGACAGACTGCTTTTTTGTCCAAAACATTCGTTATTGTCCCGTTGCAGTGGCGTCCTTGTGTTGTCACTCGCAAGATCAGACCGTGTGTTGCGTTGGCGTTCGTGCATCTGTGCAGTCATAGACGTCTACCCGTCTGTTGCGGTGACAGGTTAACCTATGCCAGCGGAGAACGTACTGTTGATAAAAGCCAGTGAGATTATGTAATGTTAAACTTACATTTTTCTTCCAGCGACGTCCCTGGTGTGCGACGATGACCAGTTCACCTGCGATGACGGGGAGTGCATCCCTGCCGACTATCAGTGTGACGACGACGCCGACTGTCAGGACAGGTCTGACGAGAAAAACTGCCGTGAGTTACCGCAAGTTTCGTTTGCCTTTAATAGACTTATAGAGACTTATGTCCTCAGAATAACATCGTGTTAATTTGTTTTTCAAGAAAATAGTTACTCAAGCAATTGGATAGATTTAGACTGGATATGCCTGAGTAACAGTTTTATTGTGCACCTCATTACCTGGATGTCTAACCTTCATCGAGAGGTGACATCAACGCCATACGTTGTGCCACTACACTTTGGACAATGTTGGAACGGCTAGGTGTGGCGCACAGTAAACGATTTAGCCCGATTCTCCTTCGCAATCATTTAATTATCACGAATCAATGGCATCCAAAAAGTTCTCTTTGACCGTACTGTTTTGTCTCCTCTGCTTGAAGAGTTGTTGAAGTTCATCTATCATGAATTCTGAGACCTTTGCTGCCTGATCGACCTGGGCGGGCCCCATCACGTTGGGTTTACAATGGATCACACCAGTGCTGCGTAAGGAAGCCCCAGTTCAACAGTTCCGCCTGACAGAAACATGGCCCGGGGCAGCAGTCGACAGTTCCTGGTGCGATGCCAGTGTTCAGTCGTGACCGACCTATTTACCTGAGTGTATTTAGTCTCGACTGTCTGAGCCAATTCACCGGAAACTGAGTTGACAGAAAAGACAGCCATATAACAACAGTAGCCTTTACCAACTTAATCTCTTTAGCGGACCAAGTCCACTGGCATATCATCCGTCTATTTTTTTGCCAATTTCAACTCTTTCCAGCCGCTTCTGAAGTCTGGTAGCGGCTATAAAAACTAACTGCCGTTCGGTGTCAAAAAAAGGGTGACGCTATAGTTTACTCTGCACTTCGATCATGATGCCAAATGCGGAGCTTTGAAGAGGCTTGCCTCGGCAATGTCAACGAGGTACCCTCGACCTTCTCTGTGGAACACCAGGGTGGGACACAGTCCATTCCCTGTTAGCGTCCCGCACAACGGCAAATCGTAAACACACAGCTCAATCTCTCAGTCCTCTTATAGCTGTTGAGAGCCACTCCCCCGGAACGTGGTGGATGTAAGGATGACAGGGGAGTAATCAGTCTTTCTCCTGATGATTGTGTACCAGACTAGCCTGGGTACCATCCTATTTGTAGGCTAGTACCAGACACATCATCATCTCAGTATTCACGTCTGCTGTCCACACACGTGAACACAGAAATGGCAAAACAGCCGTCCTTGCCCATGGACAAAAACTGTAACCTGAAGTAGTAGAATAGTCCAGTTGTCCTGCTACCTATCCATATAAGTATGTGACACGATTTTTAACGTATACTTGTTATGACGAAAATTTCACGAATTTTCAGCAAACCAAGGCTCTGTACGTAACGAACGTTGATGTGCCACGCCTGTGTTTCGTCGTCATGTCTTCCTACATGGCATGATTCAAGTACGGCAACAAGACATTTTCAGGTCAATGTCACCGAAGCTTGGGGGTTGAGAGGCCTGCATTCCATTTCTTCAACGCTGACGGCCTTTCAAACGGCCAAGTGACGATATTGCCAGTAATTTAAGTGTTGACCTTGAGCATCACTGACGTCCTTGAACATAGAACAGGTGGCGGTTAAGCTCCGGTCGCAGCAGAGGGAGGGTCTGGGTAGTTTCTGACCGCGGATGGCTGCCGGCTGTTCACCAGGAATGGGAGCTCGTTTAGTGACTCCCGTTCGTTTTTCCCAAAAAAGTTTTCCACAGTGTATAGTATGGTAAAACTATTTTCATCACTGAACTATTAAAATCTCCAATGCATCGCCGATAGTAGAATCCGGTGGATGACTAACGTTACTTTCGAATATTTAATCCTCTACATAGTTGGCACCAGAGGCGACATTCAGGTATTCGGAACACTCGGCTTTAAATTTATAACGTTGGTCGTTGGGTGAAAGGGCTCCAAGAAATGTTGTACGGTAACTTGTACCTACAATCAATCAAGGCTGGGCCGTACAGGGAATTCAAACATGACAATTCTGAGATCGTTCTTGGATAGGGATTTGGGCAATTCTTTTTTTCGTTCTGGCGACGGCTCACATAACTTTAACACAATTCACTGTAATGATTTTTGCATGGTTTTCGCCCCTCCCTGCATTTGTCGCCACCGTGAAGATTATTTAAGTTCTGTGGACATTTCCATTTTCCTCAGACTGTGGAAGTTTGTAACCGCCACCTGTTCTATGCTCAAGGACGAAAGTGAGGGCTCAAGGTCAACGAGGGCTTGTTCGCAAGGGCTAATTTGTTTCTCGCTTTGTTTTGGTAACTTGTTAGTAATGTTTTGTTATTTTATTGTGGGGATATCCCCCTCCCCCAGGAATACTTTGAATAGCGCCTTCTGGTGATAAGTTTGTTATGGACGAATAAATAAAGAGCAAAGAACCACGAAGACAAATTAAAAGTGTATTTTACCTACTTTTTCCAGCGGTGAGGCAGTGCGCGTCGGACGAGTTCCGGTGTGACAATGGCGGGTGCGAGGACGCCATCTACGCGTGCGACGGGGAGGACGATTGCGGGGACAACAGCGACGAGAAGGACTGCCGTACGTTTGTTTGCCTGGTTGTTTTATTAGGATATCAATTGACCTTTTGTTTTCATAATTTCACAGAATTCTTCCTGGAGTCCGCTACAATAGTAGTAGATAGTAGATAGTAGATTCTTTCAGCCAAGTAGGTATCCATCCCTATCAAATACAATTGCATAAGACGAAATGAACAAAAGCAGACAGCAAATAAACAAAGTCAACATCTTTTCCGTCGATCACCACACATTAAAGGGCAGACAAAGTGGCAACGCACTCAAATTAAATCAGGTGCCGCCAGTGAACACGAAAAAGAAGTAACGTTACAACCACCCCCATGAAACTCCTTCCTCTTCGCCCCCGCCGTTCTGCTTCGCCCCCGCCCCGTTCTGCTTCGCCCCCGCAAAAAATCTGCTTCGCCCCCGTCGTTCCTCTACGCCCCCGGCGCAATTCTGCTTTGCCCCCGTCCTTCTGCTTAGCCCCCAATGGCGGCACAGCCTTTTATTGTTATTTTGCAGACGATTTTCGTGTCGACTGTGAGCTGTGCCGCCATTGGGGGCTAAGCAGAAGGACGGGGGCAAAGCAGATTTTTTGCGGGGGCGAAGCAGAACGGGGCGGGGGCGAAGCAGAACGGCGGGGGCGAAGAGGAAGGAGTTTCATGGGGGTGACAACTGGCACAGTAGAACTTAGGGACTGTACGATATTTACCGGGGAGGGGGGGCGGTCGTCCGGGGGTAGCGTAAAAAAATTTTCCTAGGCCCTCCCCCCAGGTCAAAAAAATTTTTTCCTAGGCCCTCCCCCCGGCTCAAATTTTTTTCCTAGGCCCTCCCCCCTCAGACGACCGGCCCTCCCTCCCCGGTAAATATCGTACAGCCCCTTAGACCATCCGATACCGTCACCTTTGACCTGTTGCTGACGTCATACTACAACGTGACTTACACTTTCGGTCATTTCAGCCTGAGAAAGGTCGGAGCTTGTCCGCATTGATGCTTTTTTTCCTTTGCGGTTTATGAGTTTTATATCTTCATAAAAAAAACTGCAGGTTTGATTTCATCACAACATACCACCGGTAAGGTAACTGTACAGATTGTTAAAAACGACGCCATACATTATATCGGCAGAACTGGCAGAACTAGCCGCGGCGACTGTTGCAGGGCTTCTCTTGCTTGCAGTCTTTTACATTAGCCCTAACAACATGTAGTTAGGGCTAATGTAAAAGACTGCAAGCAAGAGAAGCCCTGCAACAGTCGCCGCGGCTATGGCAGAACGTACTTAACGTTTAATGTTAACGTTAACGTTAGTACTTCGCCTGCACGAAACCCGGAATTTTTGCGGTTGTGGATATTTGTTTGGTCAACGTTGGACCAGAATTTTGCCTGTTGCAGACGATATCTTTTCCGACACAACATTTGAAAACTGCAGATGACCTTGAATGAAACGTTCAACCGAAGTGCTAACGCTAACGTTGATAATTGTTACAATACATTACGAGTTTCACGAAGGAGCAGGGCGTTCAGCCATGGACAAGTTTTCAGAAATCCACTGGCCCTATCTGGCAAGTACAACAGGTCATTTCCACTTGCCCGAACCAACTTTCACTTGCCCGAAATATACATATTTCTATGCATTTTTTACTACCACCAATTTTGAAATTGTCTTATTTTGGAGTTGATAATGTTGGATGCTTCATTTATGGAAATAAGGTGGTTTGACTTGCTCCAAACACTGTAGTGGCTATACTTTGCATCCAAAAAATTTACTTGCCCAATCGGGCAACAGTAGCACTTGCCCAAACAGTACTTTTATTTGCCCTGGGCAAGTGGGCAATGGGACTTGTCCAACCCTGGCGTTCTGCCGACGTGCTTAGTAAAAACCGTCTCTTCTGCTCCACCCCGCAGCTGTGGCACCTGGATCCAGCTGCTTCGTGAACCAGTTCGAGTGCCAGTCCGGTGACGAGTGTGTGGCCATCACCTACCGCTGCGACGGGGAGGCTGACTGCAATGACCGCTCCGACGAAGTTGGTTGTGGTGCGTAACTTTCATGTAACGTCACATCAATTCATTGACAAAAGGTGGTAACTGGTATAGCTTAACCTCCAAGCAGATGTCACCAAGTACAGTAGGGGCATTGTCATTAGATAGCTTTAAACAATGTCTAGAGTTAGAAGTTCAAGGGTTAGGTGTAACAAGTCAATCGTTGTAAATGTAGCCAGCTGCCGCCGCGCCGCGTGCCTGCGAAGCTGGTGTGTTACGCCGAAAGTCGGTTATACCGGCTATACAGATACAGAAGCTGGTGTGTTACGCGGCTTACGCCGAAAGGCGGTTATACCGGCTATACAGATACAGATTCTGTGGGGCAAGGGGAACCTATATTGGCCTTCTGTAACAATGATTAAAGCAGGCCAATAACTTATCGATACAGGTGGCCAATATAGACTTGCTCTACAGAATCTGCTTGGAGATTAGTATAGCAGGCATTGCAAAAGCTGCGGGGAGAGCTGTGATGTTAGGAAGACTAAATCTTTCTTTGTGAAATGAGGCATCAAAATGATATGTTTGTTAGTTGTTCCACATAATGGCAAACCTTGGTTGAGCTTTAAACAATTTTAGGTGCTACTAGCTTCTCTGAAAGTCTGTGATGAATCAAGCAATATTTAATACTGCTTGGAAAATGAATGCTTAAGATACCATGTCAGCATTTGATATAAAATCTTCCTTAAAAACCACAATGTCAAATTTTGATGAAGATTTCTTAATTCCTTTCAGATCAGTGCAACTGCAACGGACATTCCAATGACTGTGACCCAGTCAGTGGCCGGTGTCAGGTAAGCTCACCTGCATGCTTCATGACCAGTACATTATGCCATCCACACACATGCATACTGGCACTCATTTCATTGTTTGGCATACAAACCTTGTTCAACGTGAGTGTTGTTCGCCAGTACAGCTATATATATATATATATATATATATATATATATATATATATATATATATATATATATATATATATATATATATATAATCACACACGCTCAGCGAGTGCAGCCTTTCTCTACGAACGTCTATGGATATTGCACCAAGAGTGTAGTAGTTTGTCTTGTCATACCAGAATGTCAAAGGCATCCATATACATGCCAGTGTTAATGCAACAACCAATACATGACTGTAATGATACTATTGCCAGTGCTTCCAATTCGAAATGCTAACAACTGAGTGGACAACCAAATTGTTGAATGTATGCACATGACACACCTGTTGGTAAGCATCTTCAGACATTGTTGGATTGCAAGTCTGTCTGCTCCTCCAGTTGAATGAATAGAAAACTGTGACATTAGCAAGTGAAGCAATGCAATGCCTGTAGATACTGGTACTAATCCTTACAGCTGTTACATCTCACACATAACATAACATTGGTAGTAATCATAGTAAAATGGTGAACTTTATTTCAACACAGAGGCACACGTGAGATCAAATTTTCAATGACCACTGTTGCTTCAATCAGACAGAAGTGACTGGTCATTAATTATCTTGATGAAAGCGACAGTGGTCATTGAAAATTTGATCTCTGTGTACCCGTTGTGTTGGAATAAAGTTCAACATTTTACTGTAACATATAACCATGCTGTGTCCAATGCTTGCCCCCTCACTCACATGGACACCTTGACTCGGCACGTGCTGCTTGCTGCATCTCAAACAGAATTGCGAGCATAACACCATGGGCAACTCATGCGAGCGCTGCTTGCCTGGCTTCGTGGGAGACCCCAGAAAGGGGACCCCCAATGACTGTCAGCCGCTTGCGCTGTGCGACTGCAACAACCATGCCATAGAGTGTGACGTGTCTGGAAAGTGCCTGGTTAGTCGTGTCCTCTTTCTGTCTAGGTTTTATGCCTGTTTTTATGCCTTTGGTCTTGCACTCACATTGCATATGAATCACCAGATGTAGTAAGATTTTGGTACAAACTTTTAACATAGGCTAGATGTGTACTTGGGGGATAGGTTTAAGTTTATCACTGACCAGCCTACAAACACCAGTCTAAACACTGCTGTACCCTCATGACTACAATCTGACGTGCTTCTATGTAATGATATGCTCCACAGTTCAGTCTCTGCCATTTCAATTACAATGTGTGAGAGGAGCACATTGGTAAAATGTACTGCACCTGCACAAAACCTGTAATGTATTGTGCACTGCACTTCTACAGAACGTCTTGTTTAAGGTTGTATTCGCACATTTTAGGATGACAATGTTTGACCAAAAATCCAACAAAAACTGAAGAATCCAGGTTTTGCGCTGGCGCAGTACGTTCTGTCGACGTGCTTGTGAGAGGAGAGGACTAACCATTGTTGTTGTGGATGGGTTGGTTCGTTGCAGAACTGCCAGCATAACACGGCAGGGGACCGGTGCGAGAGCTGCGCGCCCGGTTACGAGGGTGACGCGACGCGGGGGACGGAACAGGACTGCCAGCCCATAGCTAGATGCAACTGTAACGGACACTCGAACGACTGCGACTCACAGGGCAACTGTCTGGTACGTAGGGACAGAGGTTTGACATGTACAGGGCATGCTGTTTTTGAATAATCGTAAGGCCACACCAATTTAATTTGTTGGTTCTCGGATTTTTTCAGAAAAAATATGAAGCGACAGGGCGAAAAAAAATAAAAATAAAAACAGGTCTAGGCATCCTATTATTGGCTTAAATGCTACGAAATGAGCCATGAAGTCAACACAAAAGGCTGGGTTAAAATTTAAACATTGAATTTGGAACTTTTAATCAAACCACTGCAATGATAGATGGGAAAACTGTAACAACTAGGAAGAAAAGGACTATCCTCAACTGTTGGGGGCAAAACATGAGCATTTTTCAGTTGATTCAGAACCAGAATCATATATTTTTTTTTTTGCAAATCAGAAAAAAACCAAGAGGCGAATCCGAGAACCAACAAATTAAATTGGTGTGGCCTAAAGGCAACACACTGACTTGCACTCTTTACATTAGGACACTTTGAAAATCCCTTCAGACAGCACTACTAACTTACATATCCTCTTCTACAAACAAAATGAATTACACCTTGTTGGAAACATATCACTGGCCAAAGGGCACCAGTGACCTGAAGTACCTCATATTATGTTGGGTAAGAACTGTTGGGGAATAATAAAGAAACACTGATTATTCTTATAGCTACAGTATATGGCACCTATAACTTGATTTTCCAGTGTTTCTTTTTATCTGTCCAAAATTTGTTTTATATTGCACAAGTTTTTATTATATAAATTTTAGTTTCTAGTTGGATAATGTTAGGTTAACATCAGTAAATTTTAAACAGCACTGACTATATAATATATTTTTTTATATGTTGGTTTAGGTGGAAACTGTGCTTATGTTTCCTTGCTTAATAATGCGTTTTTCTATGCTGGAAGTGTATCTTATGACACTTGGCATTCAGTGTCATGTTGGCTTCAAATACAAGTAATAGTGCTTTTTTTCTTGCATTTTAGACCACCCTTTATACCAAGGCTTTGGCTGTGCATTAGATGGTACAAAAAAGGAGTTTATTTGCCATTCTACAGAATAAGTTACTAACATCTGTGCATTGACATCAGCTATCCATCTTTCATTAGATCATAACAATCTAAATAGTATCTTTGCCTAGCTTTGACTTCTCATAACATACAGCTCGATCATATTTACATTTTCCATGCACTTCATTACCGCGAAAATCCATCCGTTTTTAGCTTGTGTCCACTCAAACTGTTGACAGAGTTGACAGAAGCTGAAATGGGATGGATACCTTTCACTTTCACTTTCTTTCGGTAGTAGGCTATATTAATGAAATCCATCCTGCATTTTTTCTGGCTATCAACTACATGTATTAATGAGCTACCTCACCGACGATCAGGTCTACCTATACTAGTATGTCGGCAGAACGTACTGCACTTGCGCAAAACCCGTAAATGTGTTATGCACAGTACTTTGGCAGAACGTCTCATATAAGGTCATATTCGCGCATATAGTCTGTAGTTTCCATATGTTGTGTTGGAAAAGATATTGTGTGCAACAGGCAAAATTCTAATGCAACGTTGACCAAACATCCAACGAAAACTGAAAAATCAGGGTTTTGCGTAGGCGCAGTACGTTCTGCCGACATGCTACCTGTACCTCTAGAACTGCCAACACAACACCATGGGAGTGCACTGTGAGCGCTGCGTACCTGGTTACTACGGTGACCCGCGTAGGGGCACGCCCGGCGACTGCCAAGCCCTCCCCGCCTGTAACTGCTATGGCCACTCTAATGACTGTGACCAGTACGGGCAGTGCAGGGTAGGTTCTGGTCTCAAGGACAACACAAGGACGATTTATGAGAGGGTGTGAGAGGGATCATCTCGCTGACAACAAAATTTTCAAAAATTATGTTACGGTAACATTTAGTCTCCACCAGACTCCTTTGCAGGCTGAATAAGTAGAAATCGGCCTAAAAAGAATGTATCTGGCCATTGAAGCAAACTGGACCCTCCATGGATGGCCAACTCCCCTGGCCAGCTACATTCTTTTTAGGCTGATTTCTACTATTTCTTCAGCCTGCAAAAGAGTCTATGATAGTAGAAGAAATGGTCTCCTGGTGGAGACTACGTAATGTTAGTGCTTTCAATCAAATCCTTCTGAAAATCTAAGCAAACTTACCTTAAAGGAAATTTTTATCCTGGATGCCATCCTGGTTAGTTTGGGGTATATTGATATCAAACAAAATAGATCAGGATGGAGTCAGCTGGTACTTAGAGGCTGCATTTGATAGTTTTCATCATCCCTAAATAATTTCCAGATGTGATGTCAGACATAAATTCTGTAATCCCTCTTCTGCAACCTCTTACATGCTGATTTAGGCTATACAGTTTCATCTCAACATTGCCCCAATGGAAAGGGGCTCATTCAGTGAGAAGCTGGCTGATGGCACATCTTTTATCCTAAATAGAAAGCTCAGTATGCTTTGCATGGTTATGTCCTTGGTGCTGAAAGCTGTGCGGATTGATATTAATTTCTGTTTTCTCTTGTCACTATTCCCTAAAGCAAGACACTTGGCACCTCCTGTAAAAATACACATGTATGCAGAAGCTGCAAGATTTTTGTCATTATGTCAATCAATCATTTGGTATTGAAACAATTTGAAGTAGAGGTTAGCTAATGGCCTTATGGATTTAATTTACATTTACTTTGTGTCTGCTGTCCAAATTATTACTTACTGTACATGTATTAGTAGAAAGTGTGGAAAGTGCGTGGTTTCATGGTTATTTACTAATCTTCATGGCAATGGTCCACATTGGTTTCATCCGGCACACATTCAACAAATCATATTTACTTATTATTATGAATAAGCAGGTTAACTATTTGTCTAATTCTTTGTTGTATAAGGTGTAACGTAAAGCAAATTAACATCGGCAAGTCACTAGTATTCTCCAGATGGATTATATGGATTGATTATAATCATTCTTTTCAAAGCGAGTGGGCAAAGGACTCACTTTCATGACCAGAGGTCAGAGGGTTAAAGAGTTACTACATATGTGGAAGTGACCTGTTAGAATGCTGCCCTATGGGGCAGAGATTGCCACACTCGTATAGAACTGTTCCGCCATAGCTGAAGCTGTAGGGCAATTAGGATTTTAGGCATGGTCAGGCATGATCAATTTTGACTGAAGGATGCCGTATATACATGTATGTATGTTAGAACGTTGATCTGGACATCTTTGCTTACCTCTGTTAAAACTTTAGATCCAACACAAAGGAGTTCTCTCACCTAAATCTTTCAACCAGTCACTCTGGCCTTCCTCAGTAGACTGACCCAGTGAGGCATTGACATCACACTTCAAAGAAGTCACATGACAAGCTTCACTGGGTCAGTCTACTGAGGAAGACCAGAGTGACTGGTCGAAAGCTCTAGGTGAGAGAACTTCTTTGGTTGGATCAAAAGTCAAAAGTTTTAACTCTTTAACATGTAACTACCAACACAGATGAACTTTCATGATAGTCTCTGTGTGTGCCGCTTTTGAAAATTTGAATACCGGATTGATATTTGGATGTTGGAATCGGTGTTGTTGCATTTGTTTGTTTAGGGACACCAAATTTGGGCTCATTTTGCATTGAAAGGCGTGGGTATACTGGGTATGTTAGAACGCTGCTCTGGACGTCTCAGCTTACCTGCTTAGAGTTAAAACTTCATCCAACACAAAGAAATTATCTCAAGTAAAGCTTTCAACCAGCCACTCTGGTCTTCCTCAGTAAACTGACCCAGTGTGGTTGGTCAAAAGCTCTAGGTGAGAGAACTTCTTTGGTTGGATCAAAAGTTTTAACTCTTAACATGTAACTACCAACACAGATGAACTTTCGTGATAGTCTCTGCTTACCCGCCCTGCCGTTCATGTTGCTTCCAGAACTACCAGCCACAACACGGTCGGCAGCCAGTGCGAGCGGTGTGCGCCCGGTTTCCGCGGCGACGCTCGCCGGGGCACGCCCAACGACTGCCAGCCCATCCGCCCTGACGTCGCCTGCAACTGCAACGGCCACTCCGACCAGTGCGACTCTTACGGACAGTGCTTGGTAGGGACTCTGACACGGACAGAAACAAACGAAACTCCATGTGTCCAATATATTGTGTATTACTTCACCCTGAAATGGAAAAAAAATTAATATTTTCCCTGTGATGCTCTGAGTTAACAAGAATGTTTCAACATGATTAAAACCTCCTTAGAATTTATGTCAAATACACTGAGGAGGACTATGATAGTTATTGTTAATGTTATACCATGTTGATTATAAAGACATTTAATATTTCCTCTTGTTGGTTTGGCATCACTTTGAAAATCTCTTGGCTGAAATGAACAAAGGATTACCAGTTAAACTAACTGAACTGTTTTTATCAATCTAGTTAGTAAGAAAATAAAAATTCATAGCAGTTACCAGCGCACTGACATGAACAACTTCAGGATAGCCAGCTTTTGCTACTTGAGCTACTTGTACTGAATGACACTTTTGATTCCTATTCTACTGATAGATAGATACTATGAATAGAAGCAATTTATGTCTAAGTAAGTAAGCAAGGTAAAATTAAAATATGGAAAGTAAAGACATGATGAAAAGGTCATTTCTTCTTTCNATGTCAAATACACTGAGGAGGACTATGATAGTTATTGTTAATGTTATACCATGTTGATTATAAAGACATTAATATTTCCTCTTGTTGGTTTGGCATCACTTTGAAAATCTCTTGGCTGAAATGAACAAAGGATTACCAGTTAAACTAACTGAACTGTTTTTATCAATCTAGTTAGTAAGAAAATAAAAATTCATAGCAGTTACCAGCGCACTGACATGAACAACTTCAGGATAGCCAGCTTTTGCTACTTGAGCTACTTGTACTGAATGACACTTTTGATTCCTATTCTACTGATAGATAGATACTATGAATAGAAGCAATTTATGTCTAAGTAAGTAAGCAAGGTAAAATTAAAATATGGAAAGTAAAGCATGATGAAAAGGTCATTTCTTCTTTCTCTGCAACTATGTAAAGGCTCCACCAATTCATTTCCTTGGTAGGGAGACATTTTCAGCTAAAACTACAGCAAGCAGACATCAGAAAAGCAGAGTGCAGGGAGGAAAACTTGTACATGACCATGTTCACTCCATAAAACTGAGTGCACAGACATTAACCTGACCCTCAGGCTTTGTTTTCATCATGTGTTTCCAGATATGAAGCATATTTTTAAAACATCCAGGGAACCCACAAATTGAATTGGTGTGGCCTAATACTCGTTTTAAGTATGGTATATGCCAATTATAGTATCATACTAGTTATCAACAATTCAAGGCATGATGCAGGCCTATGCTCTCACATCACATATCTACCGACACAGCACCCATTCGGCAACCCAAATCAAATGTGGACCAACTCAGTCCATTGCGTATTTCTAAAACATCACATGGGTGGTCTAATACTCTAACTGTTTCGTTTGGTTGCTTTGTTTCCCTCTTGTAGAACTGCCTGCACAACACCATGGGTGCCTCGTGTGAGCGGTGCCTGCCTGGGTTTGTGGGAGACCCGAGCCAGGGCACGCCTGAGGACTGCCAGCCCGTGGAGAGGCCCAGGTGCAACTGTAACGGCCACTCCAGCCAGTGTGACGAGTACGGGCGCTGTGTGGTATGTGCACATCTGCTCAACTGCAGCACGCACTGGCAAAACTGTCGGCTTTGGAACACTTTCCTTCAGTAGTGGCCAAATATTGGACATAGAAAAACATGGCCCATTTCAGAATCTTACACCAAATCTTACAAGCCAATTACCTACACTGACTTTTACTACACACGATTCACTCGCTCTGGATTTTAACACTCTTCTTACACCCATGGGAATTCATTACAATAAAAAGGTACACTGCACCCATGGGAATTCGTTGCAACAAAATGAACGTACTGCACCTTTCAAAACTAATACTTTCATCAGGAACTTTCTAAAGCAATGCTTTTATTCCGGTATTTCATCTTTCCTTCTGAAACACACAGTGGAAGTATTCAACAATATGCATGAAAACAGTTACTCAAGCAGATTTCCAAACCTGTCAGATGTCTCAGGTAGCAAGGTGTCAGTGACAGATTTGTCACTGACACCTTCCTGACAAAATGATCACTGACAAAAAGGCGTGGATGCTACTTGAAAATACTGCATGCACACCAGACATGGGTAATATATGAAAGAAAGTGTTCAAAGTTAACAAGAGTTTGGTAAACCAACATAGCGTATTAGCCGATTTCTGTCAAGACAGAGATAAAAATTATAAAAGGTGTATTAAAGTAAAGCCAGAAGACTTTGATGAACTTGATAACAGTAAACAGAATACCATTGAACACACCATGTACCACATACACACCACCAGTTTGTTTTTTGTTGTGATTGTTTGTTTTTCTGTTGATAGCATTCATCAATATAATTTGTCACTGAACTCAACTCATCCAGACACTTTGACACTTCATCCATCCACAACCTTCATTTGCATATCATACCTAACACAAAAGAGTCATGTTCACCTGTTACACACATCTACCTACCAACCCTTGAATGGACTAAAACTTCATCATCAAAATGTCATCTTCTCAGTAAAACCATCATTGCTCCATCAAGCTATCAATCTGTTCATCGGACTATTACTTGACCAATCAATCAATCAACTTACTAAGTAAATAATAAGTCTCTAAGGAAGAATTTCTTCTAATCAGCAACCTCTTAAACAGTCAACCTCCCTATCCAAGAGATCTAAAATGTTTTACCCAAGTCTAACCCTATCCAAGTCTGAAATGTTTCCCTAATTAAGCTACCAAAATCTAACCCTATCCAAATCTGAAATGTGTCCCTAATCAACCAAAGTCTAACCCTGTCCAAATCTTAAGTATTTCCCTAATAAGCTACCAAAGCCTCCTTCCTAAATAGTGGTGCATACCGGTTCACTGGACTTGGATCCGGACTTGTAAGAATGTTCAGGTTCAAGTAAAAAAAACCCTAAAAGTCAAGAACCGAGTCCGGACTTATTACCATTAAAGACCATTTTACATACCTCTTTTCTTTGCAAACCACCTAAAACCTTCCGTAGATTGCAAAATATTTGCTGCAAAATATAGAAAACATTGCCATCGGGCATCGTCAAGTACCGGCCTCCATGTTATGTGGCTAAAGTTTCACCCAGACAACATTGCAAGGTTGCCAACATGCAATTTTGTATATGCCATGGGTTTAGGTCCGGACTTACAAGTCCGGAACTGAACCTAAATCTCTGGACTTGAATCCGGACCTGAACCTAAAATTCGGATTAGGTATGCATCACTATTCCTAAAGCTTCCTCCCAACCCAACCTCCTCCTAAGTGTTTCCACTGACCCTGTTCCTGTCCGCTGTGACTCATGATGTGAGTGTTGGACCCCACCTGTAGAACTGCCAACACAACACAGTCGGGGACAGCTGCCAGTTTTGCATGGAAGGTTTCACAGGCGACGCGACGCGCGGCACCCCCCAGGACTGCGCCCCCAGCACACCGGTGGACCCAGAGAGGGCCTGTGAATGCAACGGACACTCGGACGATTGTATCCGGGGACAGTGTGTGGTGCGGTGAACCAGGGCGAAATGCTCGAACCTTGCAAAAGACTTCCATTCCTCTTCCTACTTGAAACAAATAATAAAGTTGCTGACATCTTACCCTATTTTTATTACTGAATAACAAGTTCTGATATAAAAGGGAATGCCTGATTCGAAAATGACTGTAACGTTAATGACTGTCCTGAATAAAACCTTGTAATGTTACATCTCTCTTCTCGGATAAAACTCTTCCTGTAACTTTTCTCCAATTGTTGCCCCATGAAAAAAAGTTTTAGCTAACTCCATAATGTTAGCCAAATGTTAGCAGCCTGTCTCCACACAGGCATGCATAAAATAAATACAATGTTTTCTTAGATGAAAGTATGTAGACCCGATTTACATGCGCGCAAAACCTGATGGTTCGAAAACTGCATGCATCAAATTTTTCTTGTAGGTAAATTGGCCAGCTTCGACTTAAGGGCTGGTGTACAATTTTCACATACGTTCTTGAGGTACATCAAATTTTTTGTACCTTCAGGTTTTTGCCCACGTGTCAATCGGGTCTTAAATGTTACATGTTTGATACCTGAAAGGCTATCATCAGCCCAATGCAAGGCACATGTACATGTAAGCATGCAGGCATTCTTGGCAGTTCAGCTTTGTCAACGGGTGAAAAATGCGCAACCCTGACGGTGCCCTGTTAACTGACATACAGGCCATACTGACTAAGCCTTTTCCTATCCTGTGAACTGCATGTTGCTGGGCTGAGGTGTACTGGTGAAGGGAGCATGTCATCTCGCATGATGGGTACCTGAACGGGGTTAAAGCATCTCCTCCTTGCCTCTGTCTTCTGTATCCAGAACCATGCCTATCAAGTTCTATGCCTGAACTTGTATCAGAACCCTAACCTGAATGGGTTAGGGTTGGGATCAGGCACGGTTCTGGATAGTCACTGCGTATACAAGAACGTAGACTTGCTTCAGGCAAGGTTCTGGATAAGCGAGGGCCATCCTTAACTGTGCCTGAACACGGTGCTGGATAGAGCATGGTTCTGGATACAACACTTAAATTCAGCATCTAAACCTCCCTGCCTGTATCTCCCCCACCCACCCACCAGGACTGCCAGCACCACACGTACGGCCCCAGCTGTGAGTTCTGCCTGCCGGGCTACTCCGGGAACGCCCAGAGGGGGACGCCCAACGACTGCACACGGATCACCCCAGACTGCAACTGCAACGGCCACTCCACCAACTGTGACGAGTACGGCAGATGCCAGGTGATCTGCTTCTTTCTTTCTTTTTGTTTATTGCTCATCATTTTACAAATGTACAACAGCAGGGGGAGCAGAAGCACATCCCCCTGAATTAGGTTACAATTTGTCACATTATTTGAAAAAACAACGTTCACATTGAAAAATAATACATCTAAACTAACATATATACAAAAGACACATATAAAAATTATTTACAACAGATATGCACAAAGTTGCTTGGTCAGGCTATGCAAGGTCCAGTGTAGGTTCAACTGATCCTCACTCACACACACACACTCATTATCCAGGTTTTGATTATTCTGCCGCGGGGGTCCCTGACACGGGTAGGCACCAGTTGGCTAGTCATCACACTACACCTCCAGGTGGCCCTATCCAGCGGGTTTACACCGGCAAGGCCGCTCTATGATGTCCTTGATACACTCCAACCAGATCCTGTTGCTTAATGCTTCTTCTCCCATCCTATTTTGATCAATTCTAGATTGATAAAGTAATAAGTATGCAAACAAACTTCTTAAAATGTACCTTTTGTTGTCCAATTGCTCAATCTATCTTGAATCTGAAACTAGAACATTAGATGAAGTTCGAGAAGCAAAACTTTTGGACTCAAGCAGACATTTCAAAAACTCACATTGGAAGAGAATTTTCTGGCACAATAGTGATACAGCAAATTCCTAATGCCAAAAAGCAGTTACTCAAGCAACTGGATATGATTTTGAAAACGTCAGA